AAAAAAAAAAAAAAAGACTCAAGGCATGCTGTCCCCCAGGAGAGGTTGTCCCCTGTCCTCTTTCATAGGGCAACTCTACCAGCATAAGGTCTTGGGTTTCTCAAATCTGAAATTATTTATACCTTGGTTGGAGGAAAGAAGAGGAGCAGCTCGCAGGGGTGACCGCCAGAGGGCGCCAGACACCGCAGGGCAGTCCTGGGAGCTTGTGGACGGAGGTGTCTCCTGGAACCTGGGAAGACTCTCAGGTTGCCAGGTGTCTAGAATGGAGGTGATGTGCATTCTGCCTACTCTAGGGTCCCTTTAACATCTCCTGAATCCCTGTCCTTCTAGACTCTTTTCCCCCTCAGGCCCCCTCCCTTCGAAAAGTGGCCAGAATGGGCCATAGAAACTCCATGCATGGCTGGGGGCTAGTCATACCTCGTGGGTCCAGAGCCAGAAGACCTGGGTAGCTCCAGTCCTCAGCCCACAGAGACGGGCTCCAGCCCTTACGCATCAGTGTACCATAACTATGCTCAGAATCCCAGGCCCACTTACTGAACTCATGCTCTGCTTCAGGTAACCCCATCACTCCTCTTCTTACCTTTGGTTGCTTCCCATTTCCTTTAGAATAAAATCCAAGCTCCTTACTGTGGCCTTTAAGGCCCTGCTTGGTGGTGCAGCCCCCTTCTTCCCCTCATCTAGCTCCTCCTTTGCTCATTACATTCTGGCCAAGATGGCTTCTCTTCTGTTTCTTTGGATACTCACCGTGTTTTCCTGCTTCTGGGTCTCTGCACAGGCCTTTCTATCTGAAACTGGACTATAAGCCCTGTAAGGGAAGGAACTATGTCTAATTTTGTTTAGTTCCATATGCATTTAGCATAACACACAATAAATGTCACCTGTAGTAAATCTTAATAAATAAGTTTTGAATAAATGTGCCTGGGGCTTTGCTATTAACTGATAAAGTCTCTCTCCTTTTTTCGTTTTTCAATGTATTTCATGTTTTTTTGTTTGTTTGTTTGTTTTGAGACAGAGCCTCAAGCTGTCACCCTGGGTAGAGTGCTGTGGCATCACAGCTCACAGCAACCTCCAACTCCTGGGCTCAGGTGAGTCTCCTGCCTTCACCTCCCAAGTAGATGGTACCACAGGCGCCTGCCACAACGCCCGGCTATTTTTTTGGTTGCAGCCATCATTGTTGTTTGGTGGGCCCGGGCTGAATTTGAACCCACCACCTTAGGTGTATGTGGCTGGCACCTTAGCCGTTTGAGCCACAGGTGCCAAGCCTTGTTTTTTTTTGTTGTTGTTGTTTAGCAGGCCTGGGCCAGGTTCAAATCCACCAGCCCCAGAACATTTGGCAACCCACCAGTCCTGAAGAATGTGGCCAGCACCCTAACCACTGAGCTACTGGCGACTAGCCTTTTTTTTTCTTTTGCGATGGAGTCTCACTCTGTTGCCCTGGGTAGTGTGTCATGGTGTCATCATAGTTCACAGCAACCTGAAACTCTTGGGCTCAAGCAATTCTCTTGTCTTAACCTTCCAAGTAACTTGGACTATAGGCCTTGCACATGCCCAGCTAGTTTTTCTATTTTTAGTAGAGATGAGGTCTTGCTCTTGCTAAGGCTGGTCTCAAACTCCTGAGCTGAAGCAAGCCATCTTCTTTGACTTCCTAGAGTGCTAGGATTACAGGTGTGAGCCACCACGGGTCCAGCTGATTCAGTCTTTAACATAGTCAGGTAAGGTAAGAAATGTGCAGTAGGGGCTCGGTGCCTGTGGCTCAAGCGGCTAAGGTGCCAGCCACATACACCTGAGCTGGCAGGTTCAAATCCAGCCCAGTCCATCAAACAACAATGACAGCTGCAACCAAAAAATAGCTGGGTGTTGTGGTGGGTGCCTGTAGTCCTAGCTACTTGGGAGGGAGAGGCAGGAGATTCGCTTGAGCCCAGGAGTTGGAGGTTGCTGTGAGCTGTGATGCCACAGCACTCTACCCAGGGGGACAGCTTGAGGCTCTGTCTCAAAAAAAAGAAAGAAAGAAAAGAAACGTGGAGTAGGAACTATCATTCGCTCCCTTTCATAGAAAAGAAAACAAGAGCTCAGAGAACAGGCTACTTTTTGAAAGTCACACAGTTAAGATTGAAGCTCCAGAGGGGGACTTTTTCACCTCTCACTGTTCAAAGGCCTACAGATGGGGGGCGGGATTGATGGCACCCCCAGGCCAGCTCCTAGGCTGGATACTTGAAGTAGGCTATTCTGGCGTAGTAGGCTTTGGGCCTGGGCTGAATGGTCAGGAAGACCTGAGTCTGCAGAGCCCGGAAGAGAGCTCTGAATAAATGCAAGGGGCAGGGCAGATCCCACTCCTGGGACTAACCAGGCGCTGTCAGCTTAGGGTCTCCACTGGCAGGACCCCCATGGGTGGGGAAATTGACTTGGCAGTCGCTCTGCAGTCCCTCCCCCCAAGCTGTGGGCCCAGGCTCCCCCAGGGACGCGAGCTGGGCGATCCACGCCTGGCCCAAGCAAGATGTTCCCACGCGGGGGAGGCCCTGGGAAAGACGGTGGGGCGGGCCAAAAGGCGGGCGCCCGCGCTCAGGTCCCTCCGCAGCCACTTCTCAGTTATTCCCTTGGCAGACTGGGTCGCGCTCCTTCCGCCGCCGCTGCGAGGTGAGTGGGTGGGTAGGTGAGTGAACCCCGCTGCCCCAGCTTGGTCTTGATGCAGCTTGGTCTCCCACCTTTCTGGCAGGGTCAGACCCCTGTGGCTCCTTCAGTAGAGGGTTGGGGCGCTTCTGGCAGGGCAAAGTTGAGGACTTCTGGGGAGATATTCTGTCGGCATATGGGGAGCCTTCCCTTTCCCTCTAAATGAGTATTCTCTCCCTCTCCTGCTACTGCAGCCTCTCTCTCACACTTATCTCTGATGGGGAGCCCCTCTTTCCCAGACGTGTGGGACGCCGCCTCCGCTTATCATATAGGCTGTGCCTCCTCCATCCTTGTAGTTATTGGGTGCCCTTCTCTGTCCCTAGATGTAGGGCCTTGTTCTCTCTCCAAAAGTGGGGTGCTTGCTTCTCTCCCCAGATGTGTCATCCTCTCCCTCCTTATGACCCAGTTAAGCCGCTGTCCTCTAAAGCCCCTCCCCACCTCCCATGGATTCCAAACCCTGAGCCTTCCCTGGGGGGTGTGAGGTCGGCCTCAGCCTATTCCCCTCCCCCACCAGCCCAGCCCTGCAGCCTGCAGGCTCTGGGGCACGTAGGCAGCCAATTAGGGGGGAAGGGGTGGGGGCCAGGCCGTCTGTCTGTGCAGAGAACTCTGCAGATGGCCCTGCAGGGAAGAAGCTTTCAGATCGGCCACCTCCCAACCTGGACTCCCACCCAGTTTCTGCAGGGGCACAAACCACTGAAGGGGTTACCCAACCTGGCCAGGCTGACCTGTAGCTGGCACCAGAACCCCCAGCCTCAAACTGGGGAACTCTACCACAAGAGTTCAGACTCTGGGTGGTGCCTGTGGCTCAAAAGAATAGGGCGCTGGGCCCATTTGCTGGAGGTGGCGGGTTCAAACCCAGCCCTGGCCAAAAACTGCAAAAAAAAGAGTTCAGAATTTACCACAAAAGTTAGGCCTCCTCCTCCTTCTCAGATGGTGAACTGAGGTCCTAAGAGGGGGGCTCCAAATGTTCAGGACCCCTATCTAAGACCTCCATGGGGATATCAGACAAAGTTAGAGGGGTCAGGGGCATGAGGGTGACCTTGAAGCCTTGAGCTCCCCACTGCCATCATGACAGTGAAAGAGGGATTCTCAGGTTGGGCACTGAGGTTTGGGGACAGAAGGCCATGTGGGAACAGAAGTCATCTATACTATCTCTCCCCAGATGCTCTCCAGAGCTGCCTGGAGCTTGGCCCTGAGGAGAGGAGGACTTGGAACTCTAGGGATACACAGCTTAGGAGGTTCTGGTAAGACTTGGACCCATCGGCGCCTATAGCTCAACCGGCTAAGGCGCCAGACACGTACACCTAAGGTGGCGGGTTCGAATCCCCAGCCCGGACCCGCCAAACAACAATGACGGCTGCAACCAAAAAATAGCCGGGCGTTGTGGTGGGCGCCTGTGGTCCCAGCTACTTGGGAGGTGGAGGCAAGAGACTCGCTTGAACCCAGGAGTTGGAGGTTGCTATGAGCTGTAATGCCACGGCACTCTACCCAGGGGGACAGCTTGAGGCTCTATCTCAAAAAAAAAAAAAAAAGACTTGGACCCATCCCTCCCAAAAGAACTCTGGGAGTCGGGGCAAGGGTCCTGCCTATGGGCTGCTGCACTCCCTGGGCTCACTCCCACACCACTTCCCACAACTCCACTCCTTGGTCCTGGGCCAAGTTCCTCCAGGAAATGAAGCCCACAGGGTGAGCAGACAGCAGTCCCCTCCATTCCAACCTTTCTTAGAGCTGGAGCCCCCCAAACCTTAGGCCCCTAGGCTATGCCTTTATATCTGGAGGTGAAGGATGCTGACAGAACCTTGGACCCCGAATCCTTCTTTCCAGACCTTAGTATCAGTGCTAGTCAGAAGAAAGAGACTTAAGCAGGAGAGTCTTCAGCCAGATCGCAGAAAGGCCTTCCTGACATTTAAAGATAAAATTTATTGAGCCCTTACTGTGTACCCCAAGCTGTGATAAAAATTTAATAACAGATTAACACATTTAGACTTTACAATAAGCAGGAAAGGTAGATGCCAGGTTGTTCATTTCTCAGATGAAATAGATTAAGTCCCAGAGATCTAGATATTAGAAGAGCCAGGTCTCCCTGCCCAAGGCCATTTCAGCAGCATGGTGTAAGTATACAGCAGAAACTTTATTGAGGCCGTCCTTAGTGCCCCACCTTGTTCTGGGCACCTGGGATACACATAGGAGCCCTTGGGGGCTTAGCCATCAGGAAAAGCTTCCAGGAAGGGAAGCCAGTAGTAAAACTGACTGACATCTAATAATCAGCATGATTTATTGAGCATTTTCTGTGAGCCAAGCATTGCGAGAAGCTTTTTCAGTGTATTCTCTTGAAGAGTGTGAGGTAGGTTTCCTTACCACTCTCAACTCCCACACAAGGATATGGAGGTACAGAAAGATAAAAGGGGCTTGTTACAACTGAGTTGAGGTGGAACTGGGGTTCAAACCCATCTGACTCCAAAGCTGTGCCCTTGGAGGCGGAGTGATTTACCGTTTGCAGGCAGGAATGTGATGGCAGTTTACCACATTGCCTCTGCCTGATTTGACCTCTTCACCTCAGATCTTCCCAGAGAACATGGGATCTGAAGCTAGAGGTGCTGAATTATGGCCCTGGCCCTGCTTTTTCTTGTTCTGTGAATTCCACCAGGTTACTTAGCTGCTCAGTTTCTTTGTCTGTAAAATGGAGATAACTATGTCACCTGGGTCAGATGTTGTGGCATAAATGAGTCAACTCACCTGAAGGCTTTAGAATGCCCCTAGCACAAGTAAGCAAGCGCTCAGTAAACACAGCCCTGCTTATTGATATTAGGGTTAGAGTTAGGGTGTCCCAGAGCAGCCTGGATTCAGGTCCCTCCCTTGTGCCTGCAGCCCCCAGTGACCGGAAGATGCCCCCCTATACCAACTACTTTGCCCAGCGCTCCTACCCCATGCCGGACGAGCCCTTCTGCACGGAGCTCAATGCTGAGCAGCGAGCGCTGAAGGAGAAGGAGAAGGGCAGCTGGACTCTGCTGAGCGACGCTGAGAAGGTGGCCTGTAGGTCTCAGGATGGGGATGGCTGGGAAGAGTGGGCTGGGGGCAGTGCCTTTGAGTGAGAAGGCCTGTCAGGGAACAGAGGGCAGGGAGAAGCCCTAAAGACTGCCAGACCCCATCACCCCAGTACTGAATGAACACCTGGGGTGTGAAGTTCATTCATTGGTTCATTGTTTTATTCACCCATCTATTTGTACCTAGCCTGACGCTAGGCAATGCTGGGGACACGAGGTGAATCGGCAGGGTGGTTCCTGCCCTCATGGTGCTTCTCCAGTCCAGTGTTGGAAACTGACACAGACCCCACTAATTATAATACAGAGCATGTGCCAAGGCTGAGGCATGTTCAAGGGGTTGTGGGATAGAATCATCTCCGGTAGGAGGGCATGTTCCAGCTGTCCTTGAAGGATGAAGGGGAGGGTGCTGCCAGGTAGTGGGAAGAGCATGGAGAAGGGGGTCAGAGCAGGAAAGTGTGGTGGTTCCTAGTATCACCGAGTGATGGGGGGATGGGACAGTGAGAGGCAGGCGTGCCAGGTAGGGAAGAGTGGTCTGACTCTGGGAGGTGGAGGGATGCATAGCCCCATGGCACAACCACCAGATTGTTCCTTTGATATTCGGAGACCCATTTTCATTCCAAAATTAGGGGAACTCAACCTGATCTCTAGTATTTCGGAGGACTCCTAACGGGGAAAGGCTCATGCTTCTCACATTCATTCATTCATTCAACATCATATTAAGCACCTACTACAATGCCAGGCACTGGGAATATGGCTGTGAGCAAGCTGGGCTCTGTCCTTGCCCTGTGAACTCACATTTCCAGCGCTCTCTCCCTCAGCTCTTTTCCTTTCTGTCTCTCTTTGTCTCTCTCTCACACATACACACCCACCCCTTGGCTTCTGTCTCTTCATCCATTTCAGAAATGGACATTGTCTTTTCCTTTTTTCTCCTAATGTTACATGCACAAAACAAGATGGTAATAACCACAAACCCTAATGTTTACTGCACACTTACCAGGCAGCAGGCACCGCTGTGGAGGTGAGTACTCTCACTAGCTCACTGTTGAGGAAACTGAGGCTCAGGAAGGCACAGTCACTTGTGATGGTTGCACAGCTAGAGAGTGGTGAGGCAGGACTGGTGCCAGGCTCCATGTGGCTGCTATACCACATGCTCTTGGTGAGTTACAGGATGGCATTGGGGCCTTGACCTTGCACTGCCGATTTGGCTTCCCACTCTCCCCCACCCTCAGTGGAAATTCAAACTACTTCCTATGGTTGATATAGCATCTCAACCCAAACCGCCCACCCGCCTGTGTTGATAAAATCTGAGACAGTTCCTCTCCCTAAGGAATTCTGCTGCCAGCTTTGCTTTTCCTTTAGTTACTTATTTTCATATTTATTTAATAAACTGAGAAAGGATTACACACAGATGGCAACATTTTAAAAACTGTATATAAAAAAAAACCGTCTGTAATTCTAGCACGTGGGAGGCCGAGACAGGTGGATTGCCTGAGCTCACAAGTTCGAGACTAGCCTGAGTCAGAGCAAGACCTCGTCTCTGAAAAATAGTTGGGCATTGTGGCGGGTACCCATAGTCCCAGCTACTTGGGAGGCTGAGGCAAGAGAATTGCTTGAGCTGAAGAGTTAGAGGTTGCTGTGAGCTGTGACACCACAGCACTTTACCAAGGGTGACAAAGTAAGACTGTGTCTCAAAAAAAAAAAGGAAAAGTCCCCTTGTGATCAGTTTTTTTTTTGTGTGTGTGTGTGAGATCAGGTTCTTGTCTGTTTCTCCAGACAGAATCTGCCAGATCTGAGCAAGCAGAAACAGTTCCTCACCTTCCCTCTCAGCTCACCCTTCCTTCTGCACTTTGCTTTTTCACTTGATGATACTCTTGGTCCAAGAGCTAAAGTGTTGCCATGGGGCAGTTATGCCAGGCCCAGCCTGCCCACCACTTGACAACTGAGCTAGACCCTATTTCCGTAAGTCTCCGTTTGTGGGGCTCTAGCCCAGATGGTTTGAGAGGCAGTCCCCTCTGTTCACTGTGTGGATGACAGGGACCAGAGGCAGGAGGACTGATGAGGCGGCCTGGACCAGGGCAGTAGCCAAGTAGGTGAGGCAATGTTAGAGTGTTTTGTTTTTTTTTCGTAGAGACAGAGTTTCATTTAGCCCTCGGTAGGGTGCTGTGGCATCACAGCTCACAGCAACCTCCAACTCCTGGGCTTAGGCGATTCTCCTGCCTCAGCCTCCCAAGTAGCTGGGCCTAGAGGTGCCCGCCATAATACCTGGCTATTTTTTGTTGCAGTTTGGTGGGGACCAGGTTTGAACCTGCCATCCTCGGTATATGGGCCAGCGCGCCCTACCCATTGAGCCACAGGCACCGCCCTAGAGTATTTTGTTGTTGTTGTTGTTGAGACAAAGTTCTACCCTATGCCCTGTGCAGAGTGCAATGGCGTCATAGCTCACTGCAACCTCAGACTCAGGCTGTGGGCATCCTGCTGCCTCAGCTTCCAAAGCTGCTGGGATTACAGGCTCTTGCCATAGTACCTGGCTGGGTTTTAATTTTTTTCATGAGTTAGGTCTCACTCTTACTCAGACGAGCCTCTTAACTCCTGAGCTCAAGCAATCCTCCTCCCTCAGCCTCCCACAGTGCTGGGATTACAGGCGTGAGCCACTGCGTCTGGCATGTTAGAGTATTAATAATAACATCAGCTACATCTGTTCAGTGCTCGCTGGGTGCCAGGAACCATGCGAACCACATGACCTGCACGACCCTACTTCATCTCACATCAGCCCTAGTTGGTCATCATTGCCCCATTTCACAGATGAGGAAACAGAGACTCAACTGAGATGACTGGCCCAAGGGCTCAGAACCCAGCAGGGGTGGAGCCAGGGCTCATGCCTAGGGCTGTCAAATTCCAGAGCACACAGGATTTGGTAGGTCATTCTCAGGTGGGCCTGAGGAGCTCTAACTGGTAGAAAGACTGATGATCCTGCCTTGAGGGGGGAATAGGTGACAGATGAGGCCGTTCACACAGGCTTCCTGGAGCAGATAGAGTGGGGCCCCGTCTTGAAGGGAAGGATGAAAGGGCAGGGCAGGGAATGTCCCCCAGGACAACATTTCCAGGATCCCTGTGGATCTGCAGAGTTTATTTTTTTATTTTTTATTATTTTTTAGAGACAGAGTCTCACTTTATTGCCCTCAGTAGAGGCTGTAACCTCACAGCTCACAGCAACCTCCAACTCCTGGGTTTAGGCGATTCTCTTGCCTCAGCCTCCCGACAGGCACCCACTATAATGCCCAGGTATTTTTTCTTTTTTTGCAGTTTTTGGCCGGGGCTGGGTTTTTTTTTTTTTTTTTTTTTTTTTTTAGACAGAGCCTCAAGCTGTCGCTCTGGGCAGAGTGCTGTGGCATCACAGCTCACAGCAACCCCCAACTCCTGGGCTCAAGTGAGTCTCCTGCCTTTGCCTCCCAAGTAGCTGGGACCACAAGTGCCCGCCACAACGCCCGGCTATTTTTTGGTTGCAGCCATCATTGTTGTTTGGCGGGCCTGGGCTGGATTTGAACCTGCCGCCTTAGGCGTGTGTGCCTGGCACCTTAGCCACTTGAGCCACAGGTGCCGAGCCCCAGGGCTGGGTTTGAACCCATCACCTGCAGCATATGTGGCCAGAGTCTTACTCTTTTGAGGCACAAGTGCCACCCCTGGCTACTTTTTGTTGTTGTTGCAGTTTGATTGGGGCTGGGTTCGAACCTGCCAGCCTTGGTATGTGGGACTGGCGCCCTACCCACTGAGCCACAGGCACCACCTGAGACCCCTGTCTCTAAAAATAGCTGGGCTTAGTGGTGGGCACCTGTAGTCCCAGCTACTTGGGAGGCTGAGCAAGAGAATTGCTTAAGCCCAGGTGTTCAAGGTTGCTGTGAGCTATGATGGCACAGCACTCTACCAAGGGGTGACAAAGTAAGATTCTGTCTCCAAGAAAAAATTAGGCGGCTTGGCGCCTGTGGCTCAAGTGGCTAAGGCGCCAGCCACATACACCTAAGGTGGCTGGTTCGAATCCAGCCCGGGCCCGCCAAACAACAATGACGGCTGCAACCAAAAAATGGCCAGGCGTTGTGGCGGGTGCCTGTGGTCCCAGCTACTTGGGAGGCAGAGGCAGGAGAGTCACTTGAGCCCAGGAGTTGGAGGTTGCTATGAGCTGTGATGCCATGGCCCTCTACCCAGGGGGAAAGCTTGAGACTCTGTCTCAAAAAAAAAAAAAAAATTAGGCTTGGCGCCCGTAGCACAGTGATTATGGCGCCAGCCACATACACTGAGTGTGGTGGGTTCCAACCCGGCCCAGGTCAGCTAAACAACTGCAACAAAAAAAAAGAGCCAGGTGTTGTAGCGGGTGTCTGTAGTCCCAGTACTTGGGAGGCTGAGGCAAGAGAATCGTTTAAGCCCAAGAGTTTGAGATTGTTGTGAGCTGCGATGCAACAGGACTCTACCAAGGGCAATATAGTGAGACTGCGTCTCAAAAAAAAGAAAATAAGGGCAGTGCTGGTGGCTCAAAGGAGAAGGGTGCTGGCCCCATATGCCGGAGGTGGCGGGTTCAAACCCAGCCCCGACCAAAAACTGCAAAAAAAGAAAATAATAGTAATTAGGTGGGCAGATCGGGTGAGGTAGCTCATGCCTATAATCCCAGCACTTGGGAGGCCAAGAGGAGTGGATTGCCTGAGCTCACAGGTTCAAGACCGGCCTGAGCAAGCATGAGACTCCGTCTTAGAAAAATAACCAGGCATTGTGGCGGGCACCTGTAGTCCCAGCTACTCAGGAGGCTGAGGCAAGAGAATCATTTCAGCCCAAGAGTTAGAGGTTGCTGTAGTCCCAGCTATTTGAGAGGCTGAGGCAAGAGAATCACTGAAACCCAAGAGTTTGAGGTTGCTGTGAGCTGTGATGCCATGACATTCTACCAAGGGTGACATAGTGAGACTCTATCTCAAAAAAAAAAAAAAAAAAAAAAGAAGAAGAAGAAGAAGAAGAAGAAGAAGAAGAAGAAAGAAAGATGTTCCTATTACCCCTATCAACTCCGGGAATTCCAAGGGTTTCAGAAGCTTTTGTGCCAGGAACTGGGGGCAGAGATCAAATATATACTATGTATTTCTTTTTTTCCTTTTGTTTTTTTTTTTTGAGACAGAGTCTCACTTTGTCCACCTCGGTAGAATGCTGTGGCATCACAGCTCACAGCAATCTCAAACTCTTAGGCTTAAATGATTCTCTTGCCTTGGCCTCCCAATTAGCTGGAACTACAGGTGCCTGCCACAATGCCTAGCTTTTTTTTTTTTTTTTTTGCAGTTTTTGGCTGGGTCTGGGTTTGAACCCACTACCTCTGGCATATGGGGCCAGCACCCTACTCCTTTTGAGCCACAGGCACTGCCCAATGCCTGGCTATTTTTTTCGTTGTAGTTGTCATTGTTTGGCAGGCCTAGGCTGGGTTCAAACCTGCCAGCTCTGGTGTACGTGGCTGGTGCCTTAGCTGCTGAGCTATAGGCGCCAAGCCAATATACTATGTATTTCTTATTATGTCACCTGCAGTTCACTAAGAAAACACCCCCAAACATCAGCTTCATTTCTATCCCTTCCTTGCACTTCCCCACCTCTGTGCCTTTCCAAGAGCAGACCCCCTTACCCTGGCATGCCTCTTGCCATGAAGTCTGATTTCTTTGGAGGGTGTAACCCTGTCTGATTTCTCTGGGAATCTCCAGCAGGATTTTTATTTACTTATTCATTCTTTTTTTTTTTTTTTTTTGAGACAAAGCCTCAAGCTGTTCCCCCTGGGTAGAGTGCCATGGTATCACAGCTCACAGCAACCTCCAACTCTTGAGCTCAAGCCAGTCTCCTGCCTCAGCCTCCCAAGTAGCTGGGACCACAGGCTCCCGCCATAATGCTTGGCTATTTTTTGGTTGCAGCTGGCATTCTTATTTGGCAGGCCTGGGCTGGATTCGAACCCACCACCTTAGGTGTATGTGGCTGGTGCCTTAGCCACTTGAGCCACAGGTGCCGAGCCCACTTATTTATTCTTTTGTTGTTGTTTAGCAAGCCTGGGCCAGGTTTGAGCCCACCAGCCCTGGAGCATGTGGCCAGCACCCTAACCAGTGAGCTACGGGCTCCCAGCCTCACTTATTCATTCTAGAAATAATGATTAAGGGCCTTCTTTGAGCCAACCACTGTTCTAGTGGCTGGGAACGTAACATGAACGATGTAACAATGAACTGAAGCTTACAGTCCAAAGGAAAGATAAGCAATAAATAAGATAATAAATAAAAATATTATCAATTCTTTGCCTAAAATCAACTCCCAAGTTCCAGACTCCTCACTGAGGCTGCCCAAGTCCTGTGTGATCTGACTCCAGCTGACAGTTCATTTGCTTCACTCTTGTTTTGTTTTGAGACAGTCTTGCTCTGTTGCCCTGGGTAGAGTGCCATAGCATCATACCTCACCTTGAGCTTGAGCAACCATAAGCTCCTGGGCTTGAGCAACCCTCTTGCCTCAGCCTCCCAGCAGTTGGGACTATAAGCACCTACCACAACGTCTGGCTAGTTTTTCTATTTTTATAGAGATGAGGTCCTGCTCTTGCTCAGGCTGGTCTCTAATTCCTGAGCTCAGGCGATCCACTTGCCTTGGCCTCCCAGAGTGTTTGAATTATAGGTGACCGCCACTGTGCCTGGCCTCTACACTCTGTGTTTTTTACCCATTCCATTGCAGCCACACTGGCCTTCATGTCACCCCTTTCTTATTCCTTCCTGCCTCAGGGCCTTTGCACTGACTTCTACTTTTCCCTGACTTTCCCCCTTGGATTTTTCAAGTCTCAGTTCCAATGTCACCTCCTCTGGGAGACCTTCTCTGGCCACCCTAACTGGGTGAAGCATTTGCCATCATCTCCCCCACTAAGCTCCACAGGGCAAGAATTTTCATCTGGCTCATTCACTGCCATGTCACTAGTTCTTGGCTATGCTTTGTATACAGAACATGCTCAATAAGAATTTGCTGAATGGGCTCGGCGCCTGTGGCTCAAGTGGCTAAGGCGCCAGCCATGTACACCCAAGGTGGCGGGTTTGAATCCAGCCCAGCCTGCCAAACAACAATGACGGTTGCAACCAAAAAATGGCTGGGCGATGTGGCGGGCGCCTGTGGTCCCAGCTACTTGGGAGGCTGAGGCAGGAGACTCGCTTGAGCCCAGGAGTGGGAGGTTGCTGTGAGCTGAGATGCCACGGCACTCTACCCAGGGGGACAGCTTGAGGCTCCTGTCTCAAAAAAAAAAGAAAAGAATTTGCTGAATGAACAGCATCTGGTGCAGAGATCGGAGGCCAGGAAACCTTGTAGCCAAGAGTTGGCCCAAGGTCTTTGGAATGGATGCACCTGAGGCCCATTCCCCACCCCTGCCTGCCTTCAGTGTACCGGCTCCAGTTCCATGAGACCTTTGCAGAGATGAACCGTCGCTCCAACGAGTGGAAAACCGTGATGGGCTGTGTCTTCTTCTTCCTTGGATTTGCAGCTCTGCTGATTTGGTGGCAGAGGGTTTACAGTGAGTGGCAACCCCTCACCTGGCTGTAGCCTTGGCCCACGCCCTGTGGCCATAGCCACTACTCATGTTGTCAGGGGAACCATGCTGGTACTCATCTGCAGACTTTTGAAAAGCCCCCACAGAGGTGTAGGCTGACAGGCAGAGCATGGTTGCCTGGGTTTGAATGTAGGGAGTCTACATCTCTGGGCCTCAGTTTCCTTATTTGCAAAATGGAAATAATTTATATCCACGTATGAGGGTTCCTGTGAAGATTTAATCAGAAAGGGCTGTAGGTCGGTGCTTGGTACATAGTCCTGAATGGTGTAGTTACTGATTGCTGTGTATTAACTGTGTATTTTTCAGTTAGAGTCCCCAACATATAAGAGTTTAAACATGATACAGGTTTATTACTTTCACTCATAAAGGCCACAGAAGTAACAGTTAGACAGTTCTGGTGACTCCACAGTGCAGGCTCCTTCTGTCTTGCTGCTCTTCTATCCTGACACCCAGGAGCTGCTCTAGCTCCTGCCATCAAGCCTACATTAGGCCAGGGCGAAAGGGGAAGGGAAGACGCACTCCCCTTTAAGGCCCAGAAGTTGCTTGTGTTTTCTGCTCAGATCCTATGGGCTAGAGAAGATCACAGGACCATGTCTAGCTACAAGGGAAGCTGGGAAATGTAGTCAAATACCCAGCAGAACCTGGTTTACTTCACAAGTTCTCAAAATGTTGTCCCTGGGCCAGGAGGACTACCTGGGAACTTGCAAGAGATTCACATTCTCAGCTCCTTCTGGATCTACTGAGTCAAACACTCTGAGGAGGTGGAGCCCAGCAATTTTTTTTTTTTTTTATTAAAGACAGAGTTTCACTTTATCGCCCTCAGTAGAGTGCTGTGCTATCACTGCTCACAGAAACCCCCAACTCCTGGGCTTAGGCGATTCTCTTGCCTCAGCCTCCTGAGTAGCTGGGACTACAGGTGCCCGCCACAATGCCCAGCTATTTTTTTTTGTTGCAGTTTGGCTGGTGCCGGGTTTGAACCCACCACCCTTGGTATATGGGGCCAGTGCCCTACCAACTGAGCCACAGGTTGCCCGAGCCCAGCAATTTTCATTTTAATGCCTTCAGGGTGATTCTGATGCCACTCAGGTTTGAGAACCACTGTCTAGAGGAAGGGGAGAGGATGTTGAGAAAGAGCTGGCAGTCTCTGCTTCGGCTGACTTTCCCTTTCGTGGCCTCACCTTGTTTCTTCTGTAGAGAGTGACAGGAGTTCCTACCTTGTATGAGGGAGAAATAGGAGTCTTTGAAAAAGACTAGTCTAGCCCAGGGCTTGGCATTCAAACTAGGTATTCATAAAGGTTGTTCCCTTCCTGACCACACTCTGGGATGGAAAGTAGCAGGGATGGAGGTCAGACAGCAAATCAGCTCCAGGAGCAGGGGGACCAGGAGGTAAGATATGAGTGATGCTGGGAGCTCCAGCCCCCAGAGCTCCCTGACCACACTTCAAGGCCCCTAAAATGCCTTCATGAGTGCTTCAGCCTTTGGATTAAGTATTCCCCCTGCAGCTGAATTTCTAAGTGAATGTTCCCTACCTACCATCTACCCTGACCTGCTTAGGAAGTAAAAGAAATTATTTCATCCTGGGCCCTTCCCAGGGAATGGAAGCAAATTCAATAACTATAATTACAGTGCATAGCAGGTAACCTCATGGTGTTTATTCTCTCTCTCTCTCTCTTTTTTTTTTTTTTTTTTTGAGACAGAGTCTCAATCTGTCTGTTGCCCTGGGTAGGGTGCCATGACATCATTATAGCTCAGAGCAACCTCCAACTCTTGGGTTTGAGCAATCCTTTTGCCTCAGCCTCCCAAGTAGCTGGGACCACAGGCGCATACCACAACGCCTGGCTATTTTTTGGTTGCAGCCATCATTGTTGTCTGGCAGGCCTGGGCTGGATTCAAACCCACTACCTTGGGTGTACATGGCTGGTGCCTTAGCCACTTGAGCCACAGGCACCAAACCTCTGCTTTTGATAGGTAAGGAAACTGAGGCTATGAGAGGTGACATGACTTGTTCAAGGTCACATAGCAAGGGATTGTGGAGCTGGGGATTGGATCCAGGTGGTCTTTAAATCAGTGCTTCTCTGCCCATTGGTAGAGGAGGAGACTGAGGCTCAGAGTGAGGAAAGATCTTGGCCCAGTTCATACAGTGAGTCTGGGGCAAACCTGGGATCCCAGAGATCCCAGCAGTAATGCTTTTAGGAGAGCATCTGGAAGGGGGCTGGACAGGGTGGAAGGAGCTCCTCAGTGCAGGGCACCCAACCTTGTGGCTGGAGACCCTAGCAGGGTCCTCAACCACCCCTGTCCCGCCTTGTGCCCTCCCTGCAGTGTTTCCTGAAAAGCCCATTACCCTGACGGATGAATGGAAGGCCCAGCAGCTCCAGCGCATCCTGGACATGAAGGCCAATCCCGTGCAAGGTCTGGCCTCCCGGTGGGACTATGAGAAGAAGCAGTGGAAGAAGTGACTCCACCTCCCCAGCTGTCTCCCTGCAGCTCTACCCCGGTGGCGGTGGCGCCTCCCTTCCTTTCCCCTCCCCCCTAATAAACCTGATCTGTTCTTATCTGCCTTTAACCTCCAGTTCAGATTTTACCTGGCACATAAAATTAGCCATTGTCATAGATGGAGGATAAGAACAATTCGCCTTCTGGGGCTCAGGATCCAGCTAGTCAGGAAGGGCTTTCTGGAGAGCCAGGGCAAGGGCTGAGCCTCAGGTGAGAAGAGGAAAGGTGGAGGGAGCGGCTTGAGCAAAGGCAAGGACTTGCCTTTCTGGAGTCAATTAACTATTGAGCACCTACTGTGTTCCAGGTACTGATCCATAATTCAGGCCCTGGGGATGCTGCAGTGAACAAGACAGACAAAACCCTTGGTCTCATAGAGGAGACATTTTTCTTTTTTTTTTTCTTTTTTTGAGACAGGAGCCTCAAGCTATCCCCCTAGATAAGAGTGCCCTGGCATCTCAGCTCACAGCAACCTCCAACTCCTGGGCTCAAGTCTCTTGCCTCCACCTCCCAAGTAGCTGGGACCACAGGTGCCCACCACAACGCCCGGCTATTTTTTGGTTGGAGCTGTCATTGTTGTTTGGCGGGCCCAGGCTGGATTCGAACCTGCCACCTTGGGTGTACATGGCTGGCGCCTTAGCCACTTGAGCCACAGGCGCCGAGCTGAGGAGACATTTTTCTAGGGAGGGAAATAGAAAGATGAATAAATGTTAATAACCATAGGTGAGGTGGTGATACGTGCTGTGGAGAACAAACAAAACAAAGCAGGGTAAAGGGACAGGATAAGGGGGGCTGGCGGGGTGCTAGGTGAAGGCCTTTTGAGGAGATGGTACTGCAGAGGAGGTCTGGGTGGGATAAGGGAACAAGCCCTGTACCAAAGACATAACAGCGAGTACAAAGACACTGAGGTGGGATTTTAGTTTGTGTGTTTGTGGAACTGCAGGGAGGTCACAGGGACGGCTGGGGTGGAATGACCCTGCAGGAGAGGAGACCGGGGACATGTGTGTTGGGGAACAGAATTGCCTCTGGGGTGGAGGCAATGTATAGGGTCTTGTGGGATTTTATTCTAAGTGTCTGAAGAAGCTGTGCCAGTTTGGATCCTCTGAGAAGCAAATTCCAAGAAGGAATTATCCAGGCTGGGCGAGGTGGCTCATGCCTATAATCCTAGCACTCTGGGAGGCCAAGATGTGTAGATTGCTGGAGGTCAAGAGTTCGAGACCAGCCTGAGCCAGAGCAAGACCCAAAGAGTAAAGTCATTGAGTTTGGGGATAAATTGCTAGTTACAACAATTAGTACAACATCTAATTTTTCTATTTTTAGTAGAAAGGGTCTCTCTTCCTTAGGCTGGTCTTGAACTTCTGAGCTCAAAAGACTCTCCAACCTTGGCTTTCTAGCATGCTAGGATTACAGGTGTGAGGCATCATGCTCACCCAGAAATTAATTTTCTTTTCTTTTTTTTTTTTTGAGGCGGAGCCTCAAGCTGTCCCCCTGGGTAGAGTCCTATGACATCACAGCTCACAGCAACCTCCAACTCCTGGGCTGAAGCCAGTCTCCTGCCTCTGCCTCCCAAGTAGCTGGGACCACAGGTGCCCACCTTAACACCCAGCTATTTTTTGGTTGCAGCCATCATTGTTGTTTGGTGGGCCCAGGCTGGATTCGAACCCGCCATCTTAGGTATATGTGGCTGGCGCCTTAGCCACTTGAGCCACAGGCGCCGACCCTTTCTTTTCTTTTTTTGACAGAATCTCACTATGTCGCTCTCAGTAGGTGCCAAGGGGCCACAGCTCACACCAACCTCAAACTCTTGGGCTTAAGTGATTCTCTTGCCTCCCAAGTTGCTGGGACTACAGGCATCAGCCACAATGCCTGGCTATTTTTTGTTGCACTTATCATTGTTGTTTAGCTGGCCCGGGCTGGGTTTGAACCCACCAACTTTGGTATATGTGGCTGGCGCTGTAACCACTATGCTATGGGCGCTGAGCTGAGAAATTAGCTTTTGGGGGGGGGCAGAATTTTATTATGTCGCCCTCGGTAGAGTACTATTACGTCATAGCTCACAGCAACCTCCAACTCTTAGGCTTAAGCAATTCTCTTGCCTCAGCCTCCCAAGTACCTGGGACTGTGGGTGCCTGCCACAACGCCTGCCTATTTTTTGTTGCAGATGTCATTATTGTTTAGCTGGCCTGGGCTGGGTTTGAACCCGCCACCCATGTTGTATGTGGCTGGCGCTGTAACCACTGTGCTACAGGTGCCGCTGAGCCTGAAATTAATTTTCTTTTTTTTTTTGAGACAGAGCCTCAAGCTGTTTTCCTGGGTAGAGTGCTGTGGCATCACAGCTCACAGCAACCTCCAACTCCTGGGCTCAAGTGAGTCTCTTGCCTTAGCCTCCCAAGTAGCTGGGACCACGGGCGCCCACCACAACGCCCAGCTATTTTTTGGTTGCAGCCATCATTGTTATTTTGGCGGGCTCCGGCTGGGTTTGAACCCGCCATCTCAGGTGTATGTGGCTGGCGCCTTAGCCACTTGAGCCACAGGCACCGAGCCCTGAAATTAATTTTCTTATAGGACTAAAGGCTAGAATTCCCAGGTGAAGGTGTCAGCAAGGTTGGTTTCTCCCAAAGTGTCTTCTCAGTAACTTGCAGATGAAGCCTTCTCTCTGTTTCCTCACATGGAGGCTTTCCTCTGTGTGGGAGCATCCCTGGGGTCTCTTACTGTGCCAAAATTTTCTTTTCACACCAAATTAGATGAGGAATTCCTTTTAACTTAATCACATCTTTTTTTTTTTTTTTT